ATGAAGATAAAAAATAAAAAAGAACAAKAAAATAATATTTAGATAAAAAATTATAGAACGAATTAAGCATCCCCCCTCTAAACCCCTTTATTCCCTATCTTATACCCTTTGAACCCTTCTTGGCCTTATCAAGCTTTTCATGAAATAGGAACGAAGCTCTATTGTATTTTGCATGCGCAATATCACGTTTTTTTTTTTGTTTTTTTTTTTTTTTTTTTTTTAGGCCTTTTTTTTAATCATCCGGATTTCCAGATGATCCTACCCCCCGATCATCCGGCCAGATAATCCGACCAGATTATCCAGCCAGATAACCCATGCTACCTAGTAAAAAAATAGATATCGCACGAGATCGGGTAGCAGGCCAAGCCCATGGGGAAGCCCCTGACCTTCCTCCACACATGATACTCCCCCATGCGTAACACGCTGTTGGCGATGCACCACTCCGTGAGCCAGCAGACATCCTCCTCCCTGAACAACATAGACCCCATACCCTTCGCCTGATCGCCATCCACCCACGATGGCCACAACTTGCCATCCGCCCCTACCTTGATTCGATTGGCATGGCTCGAGCTCCTCTCTCTTCGCACCTGCATCGTACTCTTCACGTAGAATCTCACCAATACCCGTAGGCTATCCTCCGAGCTGTCTGTGGGAATCGTCTCAAAGCATCTAGTGATGTCCACCGTAAAGATGGAATAGATCTTCTCTGACAGGTTCACACAAAACTCTCCCACTGAGGTTACTGACCACCATAGGTTCGCCTTCACCCCATATCGTTCCGCCAACTCCCATCTTTTCTTCTGACAGAACGTTTGCACCAGGGGGAGGAGAAACCGAAGCAGACAAGCGCAAAGGTCTGCTTCCGGGGAAACAACCGTCTTGGCTGTGTTCATGATCCAGCGGAATATACCCTTATGCGCCTTGAACACCGTCATCAGGTACGGGAGTGTCGCTGGTGCAGTCGGCAGCGTGGGCATAGCTGAAAGCTCGCACTGTATTCGTGAGATGACTGCTGCAAGGGGGGCGACGATGCTCGCGAACTCAGGTCCAGACAACCTCTGAAAGGCGAGCTTCCGTATGAAGTTCTTGCATACAAAGGCCGGAGCATTCGGGGCTTTATCCGTCGGACAAATGAGGAAGCTTCCGGTGAGGAACACCAGTTCCCGCTTGACGGCTGGATGCTCGAATGGGTCCGCGGTCACGTGCCTGTGCTGCTCCCTGTATTTCGTCATCCTCGCTCTCGCCTTCTTCAAGATTATCCTCCGTAGAAATGACTGGGTGGACGCTGTGAGCTCGCGTAGTTCCAGTACCATCGCCATGAGTCTGTCCAGAAATCCGCCCACCTCGTTYTCCGCCTCGTCCACGTCCAGGGTCATGCATGGGATATGGTTCAGTCCAGAGTTGATGATGCCCTGGAGATGTGGGTTGTCCGTGATCGACGAGACCAACGTGATTACAACCCTCGCTTTGGAGCGGTTCGATCGAAGCATTGCTGCGCATGTCCGAGTCGAGACCTGCATGGACATTGCTCCGTGTCGTAGGCCTCCATCCATTGCACAACGTTAAACTCGCAGAATACCTTCGCAGGTCTGCAAAGCCTAGAAGCGATGCAGGCGTTATAGATCCAGCCGATCATGGGCCGTTCCAGCCAGTCTCGTCTCCAATTATCCTTGCCAGGACTTCGTTGATCAGCCTCCTGATGGAAAGCGGTTCCATCACCCTGCTAGTGTACCTCAGGTGTAAGAAACCGTTGCAATCCATCTTCTGCCTCTTCCAAGATCTTCGGCTAGTCGGTAGCGTGGTCATCTGCCCTGGAGCATCGAAGCTGCTACTCGGGTCCGGCGCCTCGAAGATCACAATCACAGGACACGGGTTGTGCCAGATGGGATAGTGAATTTTCAAAGCACCACGAGAGGGAAGGCATGACAGGGAGAGAAGAAAATAAAGACAAGGAAGGGTAAGACCAAAAAGGGGGGGAGAGGGAAATGGGAAAAATCATTGGAAAAAGATGGCCATGACCTAGTGATCCATTTTTTTAAGAGGGGTTATGCACGTGCAGGTCGCCTGCTGGTGGCGGCGCCCGTTCTTCCTCCGTCCCTGTTCTTCACGCCTCTCTTTTTGCCTCTCCCTGTCTGGGTAAGTGTCGATTGCGCTGAGTTTTCTGATGAAAGGAGGATGAGAGGAGGAGGAGTCAGTTCCCTAATCATCATCACTGATTGCAGAGAAGGTGGGAGCGGGGAGGGCAACGTTCGGTTCCCCGTTGCCTGCATTGGTGCGGATCGATGTTCCTCTGTAAGTAGGTTGGTGGTATACACGCCAAGGAGGTGAGTACCGTCGCTTGCTTGCTGCAGTCAGGTAATCACCACCGCGGGTTGCAGATGAGCAGAAGCAAACGAAGAGGGAGGTGGAGGCGGGGGAGGAGGTGGAGGGGGAGGGGGAGGGGGAGGCGGAGGGGGAGGAGGAGGAGGAGGCAGCATATGAGGAGGAGGGTGAGGGGGAGCATCGAACACCAGTGCTACCCTGCGGAATTTGAGCGTGGTTTGTCCCGGTACCTGCGCGCCCCCTCCTCTCTTTCGCGCCGCTGCTCGCGGAGAGTTGAGCGGAAACCTCGTCAGTTTTTCGAGGATCCACGTAGGGAGCATAATTCGTGCGAGTAACGCAGGGATCGGATAGCTCCATACGCGATCTTCCTTCAGCAAACCCTCCGTGTCGAGTGTTGCGTCCCTCTCAAGTTCCTTGACATATCCCATCATCAGATCTCTGAGAAAGTGAAAGCTAATAGCGGCAAGCACCTCGTCCCTCAATGTGGTCCTGAGGTAGTGGATCAACATCGATGTCCTGATTTTGATCGAGGACATGTCCGGGAACAGTACGTCCGTGTGCGCAAGTAGATACCAGAGGGCATGGTCAAACCATAGTGGGGTGTCTCCTCAATCCCTGTTTTTCTCCCTCTTGCATTTGCACTTGAGATAGGGTCTTCCTACGGTCCATATCTTCCTCAAGTTCCTGAGGTCTAGCCTGTCCTCCTGTCTAATAGCTTTCTGCCATATCCCCGACCTCGTTTCCCCACATTTATCCGGATCTAATGCGCGCATGGGTGGGAATTTAAGGTCATGGGGGTCCAGTGGGGGACCCTCCCGGAGAACTTCAGCCTTCCTTTCAGTACTTGCGCCCTACACTCCTTCACCTGTGCATTTGTGACATTCCGCAGGAATTTGAGTGCCCCGATGGAGATTGGTGCGATGTGGTTAAAGGTCTCCATCTTCCAAATCACATGTCGGAAGCATGTGGATGTGTGTTCTACCCAATACGTGGACGCCAAGGGAGCGAACACCGTATATTGGTCCCGTTCAAAGGCATTAGTACCCGTACTATTGGTTGTGAGGGGGGAATCCCTGATAGTGGCCATAATGGCGACGATCGCCTGTTCCATCTCCTCCCTCTCCTCCGCCTCGATCGCAAGATCATCGTATTTCGTTACTTGGTTGCCTCTTGCTGTAGGCGAACCGTCTATCTGGGTTTCGAGGACTCGTCCTTCTAGGTGCGAGTCATCCACACCCCAGATCCTCAATAGGATCTGTTCAACCCTGGCAGATCTTCTCCCCAGTTCCCTACATTCCCTAGCACACTCCTGCTTTCTCAACTTAAGCAGCTCGCATAAGATTCTCAGTTCATCGTCGAATTCTTCCCTACTCCGATCCCACACTCCCACGAGAACAACGAGGTCACTAAAATAAAGCATTTCAAAGAAATGGGGGAAGCGTCCGGTATCCCATGCACTTTTTATCGCATCCATGACCCCCGGGTGAACGCAAGTCATTAATGCTTGTGTGGGTTTCGCGGGTCAGGTGCATTCTTCCAGCTTCGGGAAGCGATGTGTTAACTCATTTCACCATCCGCCCGCGAACGATTCCTTGGGAGGCCTTGCGCAAAAAAAGGAACGAAAAAAAAACACAACAAAAAGGGGAAATAAGAAGAAAAGAAAAAGAGAAGAAGGGAAAAGAAGATAAGGGACAAAATAATAAGGAAGAACCGAAAAGAAAAGGGAACAATAAAGAACTGGGCGATGATGTAGATAGGGGTGGTTACAGAAGAGAACGAAAATTAGGAAGAGGCACAGAGGAAGATGAATCCTCTTCGAAGGAGGGTGGTCCCCCGTAAGCTGAAGGTGACAGGATAATGATGACAGGGGGGTTATAGAAAAAAGTGCAGGGATCAAGAATGGGGGAAGACAAAACCACAAGTGAGGACAACAAATATTCGTCAAAGAAGGTCCCCAGACTCCCCACCAGCTGTTCCCAAGATCACATCTCCTCTCATCACGGCTCTTCGCAATTCACAACCCTTTTCTTTTTAACATTATCCAGCCATCCCCTCACCAGCTATGTTGCACGCTGGCTGCAACTGAGTTCGGCCCAGGCCGGAGCCGGCGGCCTAGGCCGGGACCCCCCCGGCCGCGGCCGGTCTGGGGGGTGGTTTTCGAAGCGGAGAGCGGGTTTGGGGTGGAGGGGTGGGGGGCCACCCCCTCAAAGTGACAGGGCGTCAAAAAAATGAAAAACGGGGGGGTCCTGCACATGGCCCTGGAAGGGTGGGCCGCGAAAATTTGTGCGTCCCCCGCGTGCGGGTTCTTTGATGCGGGGTCACAGGGGAGAGGGTCTGGAACGTCCAAGGCGTCAAACAGTGTGTGTGGTAGCGGAGGTTCTTTGTGGTAGGGTTTTTATGTCTTCGTTTTTATAAGACATATGTATACTAGTGACAGTTGTTCTGTTTTTTTTTTTTTTCACGAGGATGACGTCTGTACATATGGAGAGTATGTAGTTTCTTATGTGGGTGGATAAGAGTCATAGGAGGAGTAGTTGTTCGACGATACATTTGTACTTCCGGGGATCTGAGTGCTATATCGCATGTTGTACGGCTCACGCAGCAATTGTATTGGTTTTCCCTGCGCGTTGTATGATTCTGTTGTATGATTCGACACTCACTGTGAGTCGCATAATCGCAGATGTACATTATTGTTTCATACTTCCTATGGATTGTAAGTTTTGTTTATGTGTTCGACAACGTGGTATGTTGTAGTGCATGCATGATCTCACGGTTCCATTGTACATGATGCATCATTTCATAATGTGCGAAATGTANTGTTTATGTGTTCGACAACGTGGTATGTTGTAGTGCATGCATGATCTCACGGTTCCATTGTACATGATGCATCATTTCATAATGTGCGAAATGTAGGACTTGTGTTTCTAAACTCTATGTCATATGTTTTGAAACCATCAGTTYATGTCAACCCAATTRCGCTATGAAWAATGTCCCAATATGTTTTACTTTGCTGACTTTTGTTGACTTCTGTATAAATACACAAATTTGGGATGCACGAAACCACCCACCGAGGAGTTTCATCCCCAAAACCCTGCGCTGAAACTGTGTGGAACCGAAAGAACGAAAATCGTCATCACCCCAACCACCACCAACCACACTAACAAACCCCTAAAACACTACAAACCTCGCATACCAAACAACACGAAATGCCTGCACACGAAAAAAATACCCTGTGGCCCGCAAGTGCCCAAACAACCCAGGAATATCGAATCCCACACCATTTTTCATGTCAAAGACAGGCAAAAATTTTGTCACACCCCTGTCGTTATGCAACCAAGTTTTTTGGCGGGGAAACTACACGGGAGTCACAAAAACGAGTAGCAATTGTAGTATGGGCCAAGATACACTTTGAAAGTGCACCCCTCTCGTAATAGAACCGAGTTTTTCCTCTGAATACGGTGGCAATCATCGCAATTGCAAACTTTATCTTGACCCATAGTGCAATTATAACTCGTTTGTGTGACTGTGCTGAAGTTACCCTTTGTTTTTTCTTGCCCAGCAAGTACCTTACCACGTATCACACAACCCCACAAAAAGAAATCCAGAAAAGGGGAGGGGAGGGGAGGGG